GGGGGGGGGGGGGACCCAGCTCGGACCTTTCAAGAAAAACTTCACAGTTATCACAAGCAATCACGATCACTACACTAATTCATCATACTAACCGAATGCAAAAGTCGAAAATTGCCAAACCTGTTCCCAAGTAGAAGCAAAATTGTAGCCTTTAGAGATCGCGCCCGATTTCGGAACACCCGGTTTCGACGCAGTTGCCGACATTGTCTTCTTCTTCCTCGAAACAAAATGTATTCACAATCATTCATAAAATTATTATTCATTATAATTATACAATTCTTGATATTCACTATTTTTCGAATCACATAAATTTGACTAAACCACCCATTGAGCCCATCCTCTAAAAGGAATCCATTTTTAATTACACATATTTCAATAAAATCACCGTTAAAAAATTCAAATGAGACCTATATTTTATTTGAGTGGTAATTGGCACAATACCTCCTAACGTTTACTTGTTTTGTGGTACTCCTTAACCTCTTCATTTTGCGCAAAAGCCCTCTAAATCACCCAAACATTACGAATAGTCTCTGCTGTCTATATCCATTAGTTTACCCTTTAAAATAGGTAAAATGGTCAAAATGCATAATAATTCAGAAGGTATTTTCATGTTTTCAACTCAAAACACTCATGATGCCTAAATGAAGAAATTGATACTGTATGAGCAAGTAGTGAATAGTGAATGGGGGCAGTAAATTATTTTGTGGTTTTGTTTTGATGTGGGTAGTGAACGGTAAAAAATAGAATTTTTAATTTTGTTATTTAGATATTGAATTTTAGTGAATACTGTTGATTTTATTATCGCATTGCTCTAATATATTTGATTTCTCATACAGTATTGAATAAAGAAGTATTTTACTGTACTATTAAGTTCAACTTTTTCTAATTTTTTGTTATGATTATATTAAATTTTCATATGTATAGAGGAAGAACAACAACTGGTCTATTGGTCAATTATTAATGTACAAATCAACCCTAAAATTGGCGAACTTTGCTAAATATAACCTTGAAAATGGAAATGAGCAAAAGAAACTAACAGAATACAAACCTTAACACATCAAAATAAACCAGCAAAAATCCCATAAAACAGTAATAAAATCATTGATCAAACATTTGTGTACAAATAAACCCTAAAATTGGTGAATTTTGCAAAATACAACCTTGAAAATGATAATTTTCACAAAATACTATATCTACATTGGAAAACTTTGTGCAAAACAACCGTAAATCTAGATCTTAATCAACAAAAACAAGAATTAGCAAAACAAACCAGTAGAATGCAAACCTTAACACATCAAAATAAAACAACAATAGAACCGATCATGCAACATCATCAAATTACAAAATAAAACGTTGAATACAAACCTTACACCAACAATAAACACATCCAAGCTAGAAGAGTACAAAATTAATTATAACCATCCAAATCAGCATAATATAAAATTGCATAATACAACATAATGGCATGCAAACCTTCTCCAATGAACAAAATTGTGAAAAATGACTGCTGCTTTTGAATTTTTTTGATCAATTCTTATATTGTAAGCACAGTCGTATGTTGGTTTCTGTTTAAGTTCGCGTTTCAAACAAACAAAGCCTTGGAATATTTGGATTTGAAAGGACAAAAAAATTGATTTTTTATTCATTTTGGCTCTCTTAACTATTTTTATCGAGCAAACAACAAATATAGATGACAGGGGGTATTCCGCAACATTTGGATGATTTAGGGGAGTTTTGCATCAAAATGAAATGTTAGAAAGTATTCCACAAAACAAGCAAATGTGAGGGGGTATTGCGTCAATTACTCTACATAAGTTTAGCATTTAGAGTGCCAAAAACATGATAATTTAGGGAGCAAAGTACAAAAAAAAAAACTTACATTTTTTTTTTTTCAAATAATCTTCAATTTTATATAGGCTATGTTTAAGCACCATTTTTGTTGAAAATGTATGATTGAAAATTAGATTTTTTTTGTGCAAATTTTTTTTTAATGTGAAAATACATGAATGAAAATGAATTTGAAAAAAATAAATTTAAATAATGGGGATTAAATAGGGGCATAGTTTTGTCCATAAATTTTTTATTTAAAAACAATTCGTAGTTGTAAATTTGTAATCTCCATTTGTTCATGTTATGTGGCAACATTCAACAAAGTTAAGCTTCTATTTGACAATCATTAAAATAAGTTTTTTTTTTTTTTTTTAGGAAATGAGTTTTGAAATAATAATTTTATGGAAATTATATTGTTAAAAAGTAGAAAAAAAGTTTTAAATTTACATGCAAAATATTTTATTATAAGAACGTATGATTAAAAATGAATTTGAAATTTTTTTTTGTTTTAATGGTTGTCAAACAAGGACTAATTAATAATTGAATATGAATTTGTAAAATGGTTTATACATTCAGAGCCCGTTTGGTACCGAATAAAATTCAATTAAAATTGAAAATATAGTCGTTATTGAGCCCCACTCGTCTAATAAAAATCAACAATATCGATTAGTTTTTCAATTTTAATCCGATTTTAATCTCTACCAAACGGGTTCTCAATGAAAATCTTATATAGATTTTAATCAATCATA